CAGCAGGTATGGATGAGTGATTTCTTGAAATTATATTTGGGTTCATCTCATGCATGAAAGGCTTTTCCGCTTCCAGTCACCCAGAAAAAGGCATTTGTGGGAAGCATAGAAAAAGATAAATTGAGCTTTAAAAAAAAGGCTGGATTTACATTTTCAGGCATTTTTGTTGACAGTTTATTTTATTTTTATTTTAAATCTCTCAAATAATCAGAGATGTAAATTGGATCTCAGTTCAATGATCAATCCAGTTTTATCTCAGTCTATTGCAATGAGTAAAAAAAAGGTTTTGTGTTTTATAGTTAAAATAACGATCATTCAATCCTCATAGATTTCAGGGAAATATCTGATTATTACTGTTTTTCTGAAGGGGCCCACTGCAAAAACCATCTAAAAATGAGACCAAACGTCTTAAATTAAGTGTATTTACCATTAATTTGAGTAGTTAAATACGATAATTTTGCCTGTGGAATGAGTATTTTGAGTCTTAAAATAAGATGATTAGATAATATTGACTTGAAATAAGACAATGCAATTGTGTTTTCTTAATTTAAATGTAAATTGTCTTGTTCCATTGGCAAAGTTTCTCAGTTACCTCCTCAATTCACGAAAAAATGCACTTATTGCAAGAAAAAATGACTTATTTAGATGTTAATTTTTTTGCAGTGCCCAGAGCCCAGTCAGTGCTTCGAGCTTTTCATCCAGACCAGTGTTTTCATTGTGCTCATCTTGCACCTATCTGGCCTTGCAGGACATTTTGCTTAAGTCTGTCTGCTGATAGTAAGAGGAGCACCTCTCAAACTCAGGTGACAAAGCAGCTCACTCCTCTAAGACCTCAAAGTCCAGACTAATCGACTTACTGTGGAGCTCTGAGAGGCACCAGTGTCAGTCTATTGACTGAAAGGCAACCTACTCCAGCCTCTGATTGCTGCTAATGACACGAGCTGTGGTCCAGTTCACTGAGGCTGTGCACCAAATCTCCTTCTGTTCAACAAACCGAGTCACCGTGATGCAGCTGAACAAACATCGTCTCTATAACAGAAAGTTAGAATGAATGAATGTTTTTAAGAACAAAGTCCAGAATTTTCACAGAAGAAACTTATAGCATAAGGAGTTAAATTAATAAAAAAAAAACAATCAATGTTTTTTTGCACTAAACATGGATGAATAAACAAGCAAAACATATTTATATGTGCAATTACTATTTGATACCCTGTGCAATAACCTGTTTCTCTACTTTTGAACCCGGTGCAATAACTATATATATAAATATAAATATCCATCTATATAAATACCCATGTATAACCCTGTATAATAATCTTAAAAAAAAAAAACAGCTGTTGTATGTGGACGCACTGTATTTCAATCTGAAAAAATCACACGGAGATAAAAAGACAATTAGAAGAAATTTATTGATACGATTACTTTAGTCTTTGGCGCTCAGACCTCGGCAGGAAACATAGCGCTGAATTTTGATAGATATGCTATAGATATTTCTTCCTGTTAATACTGAGCTTTTCCTCTCCACTGTCGCTACAAACATGCTTAGTGTGAGGCAGGGCTCGATGTTAACCATCGCCCAAACGCCTGTAGCAAGTAGTTTTTATTGTCGGGAGAGAACAAATTTTATTGCGTTTGCCCGCCGGGCAAGAGCAATGATCGCAAAAAAAAAAAATTATTTATCACTCAAAATTACTTTAAAATCACCGACATTCGCTGAAAACGGCCCACAAGCGTTGCCGGCGCCATTTTTTGTTGTTTTGTACACATTCTCGCATAATTTGAAAAAGCTGCGTGATTTTCCGCTAGATGGCGTGATTCAGCTCTTGGGGAGAGAATTGTGCAGAGCAGCAGCTGGATGATGAATTTAATCTATACTATAAAACACGCCAGATTAAAAATGATCAGTCAGGGATTAGGAAAATAATAATAGCTGTATGTGCACAGTGTAAATATTTCTATCATATGGCAGTCTTCTCTGCAGTGGTCATACATTAAAAAATGTTCATTAAATGTTTTTCTCTTAGACATTGGAGTGGTGAATTTAAATGTTATAGAGCTAAACATGTTAAATTGGTGAGTAGTAGTAGTGTAAGTTTTTAACCTGTCAAGTTTTTTTTTAGATTTTTAACATTACAATTTATATTTTTCCAAGCACACAACAGTTTAAAGCGAAGTTTAGTTTGAAAAGAATGTGCAGGAAGGATTGAAAAGCATGTTAACACGGTAATGTAGGCTTGAGTTCATTAC